GGTCAAGAAGCCGGCCATTAGTATGAATACCCGGCAGCAGGACGAGATGTTTGTGCAGAATTTCCTGCAACCCATCGAGATTGGTCACGAACTATTGCTCCAAGGATCGGGTCAGCTGAAGGAACCGCCATCCACCGAACAGGCCAAGCGACCGACCAGAAGATACATGTTCTGCGGCAGCCTCAAGAAGAAGGTCACCCCGATGGAAACGGAGCCGGAGAAGCAGCTGGCCAACGGTGGGCAATGCGGTTCGGCCAAGATCAATCCGTGGAACGTGGAGGTGGCCGAGGATTGTCCCCTGTTCAAGAACTACGATGCGGAGACGGGCAGCTGCATTATGCTGCCCACGAACACCGAGGATCTCAGCCAGCTGGGAGCCCTGGAGTTCGAGGCGCGGCAGCTGCTGGCCGAACTGGGACTGTCCTCCGAGATGCTGATCAATGCCAGGCAGAGTGGACCGCGTTCCGACATCATTGGCGCCTACAGGATCGTGGTCAATCGGTTGCAGAAGCAATCTTGGCTGGCCAGGAAGCATGTGGAGATGGCACTGCATAGTGAGCCCAAGGCGGAGAAGCGGATCGAGAGGTCGTGCTGCATACTTTAAGACACCCGCGAATAGTTGTTGAATGTTTATATTACTCAACTGGTTCTTGAGGTTCCCCAAAGAGAAAGGCAAACTTGGGTTTCTCTGGCATTTTGTCAAGGGTTGTTTTCTTACCCTTTCCTTGGAAAGGAAGAGCAGAGGTTCAAAGAACTTCAAGCTTAAAAATCTTTTATACTAGAGGCTTCTTCATTTTTATCAGCTTTTTATCAAGATTCAATAACTAGTTGTTATGGTACCGAACTTGAAGCAGCAAATTGAGATTAGCAAAATATTAGAGTTAATATTCTGAAAATAAAGGAGAGAAAGAAGTTAATAATTCTTAGAAAGCATAAATAAATCGAAGAGGCTTAGAAAGTCCCAATTAGATAAATTAAATATTAACCTTTCGCTTGAACAAGAATAGAAAAAAGGAGAATTATCTGCAAATGCAAATAGATACTTTGGAAAATCCGAGTTTGCCTTTCTGGGGGATTAAGACCAGAGGATAAGCCCAATTAGTGTCAATTTGCCAGCTGCATAGGCGCGAGTTTGTTGTTAACGTATGTAGATTCCTACATTCTTTCCTTGGTTACTCATTCGAGAAAGTTCCTTATTTCGTGTAGCTTGAGTTTGTCCAAACGTTCGAGTCCAGAGGCGGATAGCAAAGTTGATATATATACATATATATAGAGATATATACATATAGTCCAAGTATTATGTATTTAGTTGTTGGTCCATTTTTGAGCATATACAGACGAATATACGAAACGAATATGAATATTATAAATACAAACATATAAATACACTCTTGGCTAAGGCGGCGATCGATCTCATCGAGTCTTCAATGTACAACGTTGCATAAAAATGTTTAATTGATCATCAAAAAGCGAGTGTGTGTCTGTCTGTCTGTAAGTGTCACTCTCTGTGTGTGTTATTTGCCAAATTGTCTCCCGTGGAGTCAATCGCGTACAATAAAGCAGCATTATGAATCGCTAAGAATCGCATTCGTACAAATCGTAAACATTCTAAAATCTAAATCTCAACCACTCGTCTAATTATGCACTTTAGCCTTAGTTTATTGCATTTGCAGCATCCGCAGGGGGCTCGTCTCTGCTTTCCATCCTTCTCATCATCCGCCTGCCCATCGGCTGCTCCACTTTCGCCTGGTTGGGCTTCATCTGTTCTAGTGCGGCGCAGGCGCTCCACCGGCGACCTCTCAAATGACGGCGCTCTCACTGGGTTTTTTGCCGCTGCCACTGGCGCCGCTGCAGCCGGCGTCGCTGTCTTTACCGCTCTCTTCTGTAAAATGGAGTGAATTGATAAGGCGGTTTGAGTGGAATGCGAGTGGAATTTATAAATCTATGGAATCCGACTGAGGAATGCAAAGCATTAAATAGTTTGGGGTCTTTAAAAAGGCGTTAACCTATATAAATTATTTAAATTGCATTTAGGAAACGTTGTTTCTAACGATTTATATGAATTAAACCGGTAAGTTTAGTTTCACAGATATTAGCAATGCAAGTAAGGAAACAAAAAATATTTTTACAATGGTCGGCATAATTATTTTCACAGATTTGAATGTTAACAGACTCATATTTTGAACTTGTATTTTTTATGATTTTTTGAATGGAAAGATCTCAGTAAAATTTTGTATGAAAAGAAGGAAAAAGCGGCTAAAAATTGACTTTTTTAGTTATTTTCAAAAAATCATAAAAAATACAAGAACACATATTTTGAAATTTTTTTTTTTGCAGGTATTATTAATTTTGCTTGGGGAAAAACTTTGCATCAAAACATTTTTGTTTTAAGGACCAGAAAAAAGGTTTAAAATTTGACTTTTAAAAAATGTTGTAACTTCTCAAAGGGTGCTTAATGGTTTAAGAACATTTTTGTGTCATTTAAACGGAATTGAAATGCTCTTTTTATAGGTGCCAAGAGTTTATATTATAAGTTCAAAATATGAGTACAGTTAACATTCAAATCTGTGAAAATACTTTTGACCACCCCTGTATAATAAATAAGTTAAGATTAGATTATCTAAAAGCAATTACTTTGCCCATAACATTAAATATCATTCCCCCTTCTTACCAACTATGGCAAAAGAGTCCGAATCCGAGGTGCCCGCGGGCCAATCGATATCCGGCATGGTGGGCCAGTCGATGTCCTCCGTTGTGTCCCAATCGACGGCGCGCGTTTGACTAATCTCGAAGAGAGCCGGCGAGCAGAGGCCGAGGACCTCCTCCCTGAACTGCGTTAGCAGGGATTCAAAACTGTCACTGGTCTTGCAAAGAAAACAAACCGCCAGCGAGGGATCCATGGCGGAGAAGCTCAGGCGAGCGGCATGCTTCTGATGGTACGTTTCGTCGTAGTCCTGCTCCCCCGCCACCGTTTTCTCGCCCACCACGCCCGTTCGTTGCGTGGTGTGCGGATCCAGGTAGAGGACCTCGTCGTCCACATAGCCCAGGAAGTACAGAGCCTGATTGGGCCGACCGCCGATCATGCCACAACTGCTGTCCAGTTCAAGGCATCGCTTTAAGGCTGGCACATAGAGCGGGTTAATGTCTGTGATGCCCAGGCGCAGGGGTATAATAAGAAGCAGTGGCTTCCAAGAGCCTCCCTCGAGGCACGAGGAGTCTATAAGATAATATTATAAGTGGGAAATTCCTTAGAAATCAGTTTAATCTATCACACTTACATACGTCATCCAGAACCACTGTGCTATCCATGGCCACATGAACCGCCAGTGAGCTCCAGTCGTCCAAGCGCACTAGTTTTCTGCAATTACCAAAGAGTTATCACACATTTCTCTTACATAAATCGCAAAGATTTCGACCTACTTGAGAATCTGGGCTACTGTATTCGGTCCCAGCCACTCGCCCACTGCCTTGTTTTGAGTTTCCCCCATCAGGGCGATCTTGTGTATGGAGTAGTAACTATTCGTCACGTCTTTGAAACGGTTAACGATCTTGAGGTAGGTGGCATCACGGCAATCTGACGTCCAGAACCAGTCGCGACCCAAATGCAGGTCGATCAGAGCCTGGGCGAGGACCATCTGACCACAACGGAGCATGCAGCCCCAGCCTTTGTCCGAGGTGAGCTGGACCTCTCCCAAGGGCGAAAAGCCGTGGCGATAGGTGCACCACAGCCGGGACTGAATGTCCTGTCGGATGCGCTCAAGTTCTGGAAAATAAAAATAAAGATTATCATCTTGAAAAGTTATGCTAAAAATGTTTTTAATATTTTTTTAATAGATCCTCAAAACGCAAAAATCTATTTTCCGGAACTAATATGAATTTTGTAAAATGTATCACATTGAATAAAACATTTGTAATTCCTAAATGGTCTTATCTTAGCGTACTTCCCAGATATCGGTGTTTCCCATTGTATCACATGGAATAAAGCATTTGTAAACACATTATAATCTTCGTAACTCTAATATGTTCGATCTAAATGGACCTATTTTAACTTTAATTCAATGTAACACATTATAAATCTTCGTAACTCTAATATCTAACATATTATTTCCATATAATACATTCCTAAATGGTCTTATTTTAGCTTACTACCCAGATATAGGTGTTTCCCCTGCTGATACTATCTATAAGGCATGAAAATCCCCCTATGACTCATCCAATCCCCAATATGTTACATACATCCGTATCCAAGTAAAACCCACTTGGATGCTTCTATCTCACCCTGTATGGCATTGTACTTCCTTCCCAAGACCCAGACATTGGTGTTTCTGCGCGGGATGTCCTCCGGCTCTCCGCTGCCCACCGCCTGACCCACTGCGCTGGCCAGGGCGCTGTCCGGTCCCAAGTACGCCTCGAAGACGCTCTCCATGATCCGCGAAAGCTGATCGCTGAGCCCAACCAGCATCTACTGCCCGGTGGGAGGAGGAGGACGGGGTGGACTCCTCCTACGCTTCCTACGTTCTGCTGGCTAATTGGCTGCCAATGACGTTCCGCTTTTCGGCTGGTGCCTTTGTTTTGGCCTTTGTTTTCGCTGGCAGCAATGCTCCTGCTTTTGGCCCGAGGTCACAGGGGTCTCATTTGTTGCTGGCAGTGACGGGCGCTGATTACAAACTAGGCGATAACTAACTTTTGATCAGTCTGCGGCGCGTTTAGTTTGGTTTATTTTCGTTTTTCTTTTTTTTTTGTGTTGATTACAACGATAACAGCAGTGACGTAGCTGTTTTAGTATGACCGCAGGTGCTTTGGTATTTCACGGTACTAAAATACTAAAGCCGCACTTAACATGGGACTAACATTGAAAATAACAGTAATTTTTGAATAATTTCTGTTAATTAGATTCAAAAGCTGTTTTTCGGGTTTTTTCCATTTTTTCCATTTATAAAAATAAAATTCAAGAACAATGCTTAAAAACTTAAAAATTGCACTAAAAAGGTTTTAATGTGCTACGCTACTTTGAGCGCGCAGAATTTGTTATTCAAATCGAAGAAGTCATCTTCGGGATCAGCCTCCTTGACCATTTCCGCATTGGGATCCGCATTGGACTCCTTTGCCTCCGCTTTCCTGGTCGCCTGACGTTGCTTCTTCAATCGCTTCTTTTGCTGTGCCTTTACCGCCGTCTGGTCCACCTGCAATCGCTTCCAATGCGGAATAAACTCCGCACACCAGTCGTACAAATAGCAATAGAAATCAAACATAATCTTGGAGTCGGGCAGAAGGAAGTTCTCTACATGGTAGCGGATATCCGCGCGATTTCTCAGAAGATCGTACATATTGTAGATAAAAGCACCGCAATAAAGTTGATTCATTCTAGGACTTAAGAGCGGAAAGTCCAGAAGTGAGTTGAGTCCATTTAGCTGATAGACCACAGCCTGAAATTCAGCAAATGCGTGGATAACCGTTGATGAATACAAATCAAACTTCTTCTTGAAGATCTCCTGCATGTGAAAATGCGGCAGCAGACGTTCTTGGGTCAAATAGCAATCGGATTTCGGTACATGTTCCATTCTATCTGGTATTGAAAGCTCTAGAAGAGCTGGTTTAATGCCGCGCTTAACTCCCTCGGCTGATTCTTTATCCCTCACTGCTCTTTCTGCCTTCAGTGTCTTCCCAAATCTCTTGCGGAAGGCTTTTACCTCCCTTTCAGCCGGTATTTTCATATCTATGGTTCGCAGCACAAGCAAACTGAGTATGAGCGAGTGAAGATGCAACAGATCACAGTGTTCCGAGCGATGTAACCAGTAGATAATGGCCAGGAAGTACAGCCGCAAATCCTCCGGCAGTTCATCCAGCTTGCTGAACAACTTTTCCGTATCCGCATGCGGAACATTGGCTTCAAAAACAGCCCTCAGATGTCTGGCATCCGGAGAAGATGGATCAAACGCATAAGCAGGTTCCTTCTCGATGGGCATCTTAATATACTTCACATTGGTCACTCGAAGAACTCTGGTGAGGTAGGTATACTCTATAGGAATTGGAGAACCTTCCTCATCAAATTGTGGCTCCGTTTTCGCACCATCCACGTGATGCAGTAAAGAGAACACGTAGTTTAGGATGGGCAGGGCCAGTTCATTGGAGTCGTGGAAGGGAAAGTGCTCGATCTGTGGGTTGTTGATGTATTTGCGCAGGTGCATGAGGTCCACAAAGTAGCGGGAGAGGTGAGCGGGGTATAGTTTGTCCAGAAACCATTGTGGAAAGAGCAGGGTTTTGTCCTCAACTTCTACTTCATCTATTTCCTCTTCTTCAGCTGACTCGGCTTCCGGATCCTCTTCCTGTTCCTCCTCCTCTTGATTTTCAGCCTCCTCCTGACCCTCGACTTCTTCACCTTCTGATCTATTTTCATCCAACTCTTCATCATCACTTAATTCCTCTTCACTGGCGGGTTCTATATAAGGAAAAGCATTAATGTACTGCTCTTCAAAGAAATCATAGGCATGGCACAACTCATTGGAGTAGCCAGAAATGGCGGAATTGACCTGGGAAACTAGAGAATCCCGCTGGTTCTGCAATAATATTATTGATTACTATAAAGAAATCAGGGATATCTTAATCCACTAACCTTTTTCAGCCTGGACAGCACTTTGGCCAGCGCAGACTCGGCCGTTTCTTCCTTCAGCCAGGTGAGGATGACCTGTATTCGTTTCTGCTGAATCTTCAGCTTGCGACTCCGTCCAGCTTTGCCCATTCCGGCGGCAAAGAAGTTCTTGAAGGCGCCGCGGGCAATGTAATCGTTGCCCAGGAGGGCGGCAAAAAGTGGGAGCTTCTCGGGACTCAAAGTGCTGCGTCCGCAGAGATGGGACACCCGATAGATGCAGCAGTCCAGGTACTTGTAGGTCTTGGTACTGCCTTTTGGGGATGCTCTCTGCTCGGAGTTTTGTATGCCAGTTACAATCTTGTTCGCCTTGGTGCGCTTTTCCACATTCTTGGCTTCGTTGCGCCGCAGATCGCGTGAGTCCTTCTGTTTGTCCTTCACCTGTTTGGTGAGCACCTGGAGGATACAATTGATTAATATATTTTTAAGATATTAATGATATATCTCATACCTTTACAGTCAGCGTAATCAGCGGAATATACTTGACATTGTGAATGTAGAAATCCGAGTCGTAGGAGAGCACTGGACAATTGAGTTTCCTGGCCAAAGCAGCCAGCTCATCGTCCGCCTCGAAGACGCACCGCATCACTGGGACTCCACAATCCCGAACGGCATCCACAAAGACCTCTTTCAGATGCAGGGGAAACAGAGTGATGGAGGCATTCGGATTGATCTTCTTGATCACAGATATCTTGCCCCTCAAACGGGTGCTCACGGTCCGCAGCTTGCGCTCCTCGTAGCCCCCATCCATGAGGACATACGGTCGTATGTTGCACTCGGCCAGGACCTGGAAAAACTGCACCACAGCCCGGTAAAAGTCGTCGTAATCTCCGCCAAAAGCGGAGTAGCTCCCGGTCACGTCCTTGTAGAGATTGCAGGACAGATTGTCGCCATCGATGACCAGGGCCGTGGAGTGGAGTTCATAGGGCTTCAGGTAGATCTCCGCACGCTGTGCTATGTAACTGGTTAGGCCGCGAACTCCCATTTTCCCGGCACTTGTTGCTCCGATGCAGTTTGTTTATTTTCCAATCGAAATGGCAAACGCGTGCTGCCAAAAGTGTTGGAAATTGCCAAAAGGTTAGGAGGTACACTGAAAAAAATTAAGTGAAAAAGTCGTTAGCACTTTTGTACAAATCATTTCTATTTGAGCTGTATTCCAAATAAATTACAAAAATGTATAAAATACAAATTAATTACAAAAAATTGAAATATATATAATCGTGTCATCTCTATTTTTTAGTGATGAGTCGTCGACGATAGGCAAAAATACCAAATTATACCGAAAAATACCAAAGACTCTAACAAGACTCCACTTTTGCCTATCACTAGTCCCCAAGCAAACCCCATGTAAACTGGAAAAATCCCATATCTTCACCCTTATGCGTTTTGTAAGTGATCTGGAAACTTTACTAGTCGCCATTGCAAATCGATTTTTCAGGGTGACCACTTATAATATTTTTGGTATTTTCAAGTAAATGGTATTTTTTAGACCCTCGGATTTCTTTGCCATTCAATCACCGGCCATACCGCTCCCAATATCCAAACCCGACGCTTGTCGTTTCTTCGTGCGCGCATCAAAAAAACGTAACATCGCGAGTGCCTCGAAAGCCAGGAAAATTCGGCAGCAATTAACAACACTGCGACCAATCAAGGAGGAAAACTGGGAATTTGGCTCCGAAAAAACACACAGAGTGCAGTGGAAATCAAAATCGCCATTCAATCGCCGAGCGCGTGCATATATACGGGTTCCGTTCCGTTTCTTGTCGCTTTTTTCTTGCACACACTTTACCACTTTACCTTTGCGTCTCTCGTTTCGTTGCGTGAGTGTGTGTGTGTGTGCGTTCGTGTGTGTTGTTTTTGTGTCTTCGTTTAACTAAAACACAGGTAGAAAAGAAAAGCAAAGAAAACGAAAACCATGGGCGAAATATGAATATGGAATTAAGTAAATATAAAAAAACAAGAGCAGCGGAAAACATCCAGTAGCAACAGCGACAAGCACCACACACGTTAATAACTCTTGTGCGTCTTTTGCATTCATTTCACATAGTATTATTTTTCTCTTGGATTTTTCAACACAACAACAACATGAGTGAGAGGGAGCGAGAGCGAAGATCGTGATCACCGTATCGTGAATGAATATTTGTCAGTGTGTGCGAGGCGTGCTCTACGCACACACACCCGTACGTAAACATCACACACACAATCGATCAAACAGTGTGTGTGCGGCATTTAATAAATAATTGTGTGCAAATAAATGTTCCAAAAAGAAATCGTTAAGCAACAACAAGAAAAACCCAAAGCAAAAGTGCGAAAATTCTCCCCCGTCTTCGGATCAATCAGCGGTAAAAGCATAGTGGGTGTGTGCAGAATTCTTCTGGAGATTTGGAGCGTCTTTTTTGGATACGGAAAATCTATACTTCCCTCTTTGCCGACAAAAGGTGAGTCTCTGAAATCGCTTTCCCATTGGCGAAGGCCGTTCCGGGAAAACTGCGAGCGGTCCTGCCCACGTTTCCTGTCTTCCGCACATTTTCACACGTCCTGCAATTGCAATTTTCTCGTTTTTCCCATTTCTTCACTCCACATATTTTTCGGTGATTCCCACGCCTCTCTTTTTGATGTCTCGGGTCAGGTATTTGCAGGTAGTCGTCGTGAAAAACCCTCGGGAAACCCGAAAAACTAGAGAAAACCTCTGTTGGTGGGCCGAGAAAATCCAAAAAGAATTGAAATGTTTTCCCCTGGCTACAAAGAAACAGCGAAAATTGAGAGAAATTAGCCACCCGCTGATTCCAGAAAATTGCTGGAAAAATATGAACATCTCACTGGGGGAGAAATAAATCATCGTTATTATCATCTGCAGTTGCAATTTGGCACAATTTCGTTATGACCATGCTCCCGTTGGTTCGCCGATTATGTAATTTTCTGCGCAGTGCTGTGAAATCAGGTTGATTTTCCATATAGATTGGGGGGTAATACGGTACATATATGCCGACGATCCGGCGACCGCCGACAGTTGCCAGCAATTTCCGGCGCTTTTTGGCAACTGGAAAATCGAGCACAAAAGTTCATCCCGGAGTTTTGGGAGGCGGCAGAGTTAGAGGCGTAGCCCTGCCAAAAAATAAATAGATTCCTCCGGTCACCCCATCCCAAAACGCATTGCCCAAAGTGGTTTATAGTTTTCCTACAGCTGTTGCGACTGCGATTTTTACGATTTTTACTGGTAACCCGGGGTCGAAAAGAACCTAAAGGCAGTTTCGACAAGTTGATACCGATTAAAGAAGAGATTTTAGGGTGGCTTATTTGTAGAAATACTATGGTAAATATCGCTCACTAAAATGATATAGTAATCTTAACTTATAACCCTATGAAGAATATGTTTTATTTTCTCTGTACTTCAATGTTTTCTTAATTATAATACCCGCACCTACCCTATAATCACTGGGTACCATAAAAAGAGTTTGAATTTCAAATAAAATACACTCTCTGACACACACACACAAGTCCATTGGGGAGCAGCTGCTGTTTGTCTCTTTGTGTTTGGGTCTCAAATGACACTTGCCAACGCTGCTGCTGCACATAATTCTGAATTCTGGAGAATTTCCTAGTAGGAAGTGCAGGGGCCACAGCAAAAACACCAGCAAGAGTCGCACTTGACGACTGTCTTTCTATGGCTATTGCCATCCCACTCTAGGAACGTAAATAGAGAGTCGGATAAAGACGGATCTTGAACTTCCCCAAGTAGAATTTTCTGTAACTTGAAAATAATTGAGTAAGAATTTAAAAAACCTGTTAGAGATTTTTTAAAGAAAAATTGTAAAATAGTTCACAGATATTTTTATTTCCATCTTTATAAAAAGCTATGCTTTATTTAAAATTGTTTCAACTTTTAGTATGACAATGGTTTGTGTAGGTGTCTCATCCTCTGTTTTAGTTATTTTGCACTTGTCCCGTTCCCATTTCCTTGCTCGTACTCCAGTTATTTGCCGTAATTGAGCAATTAAACAATTGTCTTTGATTAAATGTGCAAATTTGTCTAATGTTCTGCACTGATCGTATCTGCAAAACGGATGTGACCGCTTAAAGCTGCGCTCAAATTGCCCGCGTAATTTGTCACTGATCTCACTTTCTCAATTGGCGATCTCTGTGATTTCAGATTTCTGTCTGGGCAATTATGCGTCATTATGGCAGGGGCATCGAGTGAACCGTTAGGCAAAAGGCATATATTGCAACAGCGGCCAGAACTATAGAACTAGGGATATAATGGCCTATACCTTTGCCCATCTAATGCTTCTTGACCTACAAGCGGCGGCCTCTCGCATTTCCTGCCCATTTTCATTTACGGTTAATTATTGTTTAGAAAAAAAAAAGCGGGGAAGGCGGCCAATAAGAAGAAGAAACCACATTGGCTAATAAAAGCTTGCAAACAATTTTCAATTTTCAAATTGTTTGAAATGCAGCCCAGCTGGCAACAGAGAAAAAAAGAGGCAACCAAATCAACCAAAAAGCAACACGGCCATAACAACAATCTTGCTCACACATTCATAATAGGCAAAACAAATGCGGTTAAAATAATAGGGGTTTTTTTAATACGTTTTAATGAGCAAGATTTCCCATTTTTTTTTAATATAAGTGAAATATGGAAATTCCTTCAAAAAATACAAAAAATTCTTAGTTAGCTTTTTAAGATCAAAAGTTCTTCACTCCTAGATCTCAAATTAAAATGGGAACTAAAGTTTTTAAATATTTAAATATTTGGTAAATTTGTTTAGTTAATAATACCAAAAATTTCTACATATTGAGTGGCCTCCTCCATTATTTTGACCCCGACTGTACGCAATACACACAGAAACAACAAATAAAGTAATTATTTCCTTTCACATGGCGAGCTACCTTCCAAAATCGGAAAGACATAAAGAAGAATATAAAAAGCGAAGAAGCCGAAGCCTCAAGACCCAAGACCCAAAAATAAAATCCAACAAAATCCGCTTGTCGGCGTGGAGGCTTTTGTTGTTGTTCCTTCTGCTGCAGCGGCTCCAACACGTGCAATTGGGAGCAAGCGAGAGGGGTAGAGAGACGGAGCGAGAGCGAACTATTAATAAAGTTGTACTAGTAGCGTATCACCAAGGAGTGAGGAGTACGGTGGTATTTTCGCATTGATCTCTCACTCAATTGGCAAAAACGGAACTCGAAATGAATGACATGTGTGAGTAAGGCCCCATTGTGAATAAATACACACATCTGTGGAATCTATTGTGATTGATTCATGCAGAAATAGATGACTAAATTCGCTTTTGGCCCATTCCCATATCCGTTATGTGGCCACTCCTTTTGTCCAAATTTGGTCAACAGATTTCTGCCCGTTCTTTTGCCGTTTAATTGACTCATTTACACAAGGAGAAATACAAATAAATCTAAATCGATCTCCAAATATCACCAAACATTATTCGCTTTCGATTTGTGAATGAATCGCTTACGTATTTCTTTGATTTCCCCTCTCTCCTTATCGCGTACATACTTATTATGTGGGTGCCAATACGCCATCGTCTTACGTTGTAATTTCTCGGCTCTGTGTCCGTCCTTGTCTGTTGCTAATAAATCAAGACCCGCTGATGTAAATTTTGCATGTGTTTGGGCTTTGGATACCCTATAAAGTGGTTTATTTTAAGGTTACATATAACACCTTAAATTAATAAAATATTAAATTAAATACAATATATTCTGGATATGGTATTTTACCATTGATCTCAATCAAGAAATTCAATCAATCTGAAAAGCTTTAAATTTTGTTTAAAGGTATAGAGCAAATTGAAATCGATCACTCATAATTCATGTTGATAAGCATTGTAACGTTGCATTTATAATAAATCTGTTTAAAATATCCGATCTATTCCAAGATATCAAAATGATGATTTGATCATTTAGCGTTTTATCTTTCATTGACTTTTCTCAAAAAAAAATAAGATCGATCACCTTTAATGTGCTATGTACCTACTAAAATATACTGATAAAAAATATCAGTCATTGGAAAACACAATTCGCAAAGGTAATTCCAGATTCGATGCAAAATTTTCGCTTCTTGTTCGCTAGTTTTTGCCTATTTATGCAGCTACCGTGGGGCGCTTACGTCATGGGCCGGCTTCGTACATATTTGGCCATGTTTTACTGTTGTCAATTGGCTGCTATTTGTGGGCTAAATTTCTCGCTGGCGTCAACACAAAATATTGAAAGTAGGTAATGTAGCGCAGCAGCTCGGATTGAGTTGAGTCATTTTCTTTTTCTTGAGTTGTGAAATCTGCTCGAGTCCATCGGATGGGCAAGTACATAAGTACATATTTACATACAGCCTGCTGCTTGTCTGGCTGCTCTACACATTTTCTCAATTAATAATCTTGAACAAGCAGATGGAGGGAGAGATGTCCGATACATATAGCCCATATATCATTGCCAAGATCATCATCTATTTGGCCTCTCTCTATCTGTTTCTCTCTAGCGACACATTATGTCTGAGCAAAATCCGTTTGGCATTTATTTACTTGACTGTCTGGGCCCCATTTCATTGGAAATTCACTTTTCGCTAAACAATTTCCATAATGCAATAAATTTTTACAAATTGCTCCGTTAATAGAAGATTAAAACATCTCGCGCATCGATCTACTTTATAGGTGAATTCGGACATTTGTTTTGATTTGCTTACGTTAATGCAGCATTTGGAATAAATCGAGCTACATTCATGAATGGAATAATGAATGGGAATGGTCTTGTGAGCCTAAGATCGAATGCGTTCATGATTTTTTGCCTTTTTTGCGGTCGGTTTTGTGGTCTGTGACGTCAGGTGATTATAGAGTGCTTCTCTTCAAGATCTTTTTGAAGAGAATTTTGTAATGTAATTAAATTTTGATTTATGGATTAATGTTTCTTTGAATCATTAATTTAGATTGGAAAATTTCTAGAATCAAAAGTAGCTTTGGACTTTCTTAAACGGAAAATGATTAATAAGCAAGTTGCAAATCTAACGCATGCTAATGAAATATTTTTCAAAATATTCCCCCTGAGAAAAACACTGAATAGTCATTTTTAAGCGGAGAAATCCATTCACCGAAATGGATCCCACTCATCATATCGTTATCCAGTGCAAACAGCTGACTAACCTGGGTGATCGCCAAGGGGCCCCAACTATATAGACGCAGTTCCCGACTGCCTGCCTGTGGGTGGTGCAGCTTTTCATAGCCACCTACACTAACTCACTGCGCCAATATTTACACAACATTGATGGACATGTACGGTATGTTTACCTACTTTGTAGGTGCTTCGGTTTCGGTGCCCCCTTGTTATGTGTTCAAACACCCATACATACCCCCATGTACTAGATCTGGCTTATTTATTTATGTATTATTCTGCCGCTATTTATAACTGGCATACTAATTTGTAATTTGTTTAATGA